AACAAAGTATTAATATTTTACACGGTGTGTGATTCACACTGCTGCTACAACACAGCGTCTGACGAACATCCGGGTATTCTGTCGAGATGGTCATGGCGGAGGGAGCTGCAGTTCTCAGGAGGAATCGGCCTGGAACCAAGGCAAAGGTGCGTTTACACCCCAAATAAACACCCTTACATCCCTGCAAACAGACCTCCACGACTCTGCAATGCTGTCTCACTTCAGTCGAGTTGTTCTAACTCACGTTTTTTTAACGATAACTAAATCATATGAAGTAGGGCCTGACCTGGAAATAGCCAGCTAGCTGGTTAGCATTTCGGCACCGTCTACTTGCTGGAGTTACGCTAACTTAACAGTGGCTTACTATACATTTTGGAGCTCCCTGTGATAATCAATGGTGCTTGGATAATCACACAGCCACATTTGAGTGAATCAGGTTTACACAAGAGACTATTAACATTGCCTAAGTTATTGTTGCTAAAAATGTTACTAGTTAGCTGTTAGCTTTGCAGGAAGTAGTCACACCCCGAGTTGACGTTATCTAAGTAGCTAACGCCAAGTTAGCTTAGTAGCTGTGTAATAATGTAGAAACGCTCCCAACTTTTACAATTAAATGTATTCTCCCAGCAAAGTTCTACCTATAACCAATAACCAAACTTCAGCTGGCTAACCTTTGCCACTTTGACGCCCTTATGTTATTAGTTCTATCGATGTTTATGTGTAGATACTCCTCTGAATTTTACTCAGAATATGTATATATTGTTTTAATTGTGTGATGTTTATATTTTGCTATTCTATTTTAAATCGCTTTTGTAATTCTTGTTTATTTACTGTCAAAATGCTGTCTGTCGGTCGGTTTTATGTGTCTGTCTGTCATATGTGTTGTGATTGTTGGTTAACGTCAGATGACAGCTATGTAGTTGGTTAGCATTCTCAATGCTACAATAAAGATGCTTTTTAAACAGCCTGTGCTACAATGCTAGCTTTGTCACTTTGAGTGTATAACGTTGGACTAAATGTACCCTCCCTCCATGTGTAGGATTTCTACAACTGGCCGGATGAGTCATTTGAGGAGATGGACAGCACCCTGGCTGTCCAACAGGTGTGTTGACGTTTGTCTGTGTGTGTGTGAGACCCCCCCCCCCCCCATATGTAGGATGGAAGAAGCACCAAATTGTAGAAATAAAACTTTTTGTTAAAAGTTAAAATCCTTTTATTGAATTAAAAGCACAACAATTTTGCATCAAAATCAAAGTACTCATTAAATTTAGATGTATTTTCCTAGAGGGATATACACAGCAACACATGTAACACACACAACAACTGAACATACTAATAGCAACAAATATATATCAATATTACTAAACATTCCCGACATTTTAAACACTTTTCCTGGCTTAGAAAGTGTGGTGCTGCATCCTCTTCTCTGGGTACACTCTCTCCCTATTTCACTTTAATCAAAGTTTACATATTGGGCATTGTGAATTACCAGTGTATTGTCGCCATACAAAATGTGATACTAACATGTGTTGTGTGATTGCTTTTGTTTTTCAGTACATCCAGCAGAACATTAGATCAGACTGCTCTAATATCGACAAAATCCTTGAGCCTCCAGAGGGTCAGGACGAGGGCGTGTGGAAGTATGAACACCTCAGGTATGTTGATAAAGTAATTTAAGCTTGAAAATGAATAAGTTATTGAAGCAGCAGTCCTAGTAGGATCACTCATGCTCATGTATTTGTCTTTTCTTCTAACTGTGCTCGTGTTTTGTCCTTCATGTAGGCAGTTCTGTCTGGAGCTCAACGGACTAGCTGTAAAACTGCAGGTACGTGATCCAACTCCGAAGATATACAACCTTTTATTAATTTTCAAACATGTCTGATGGAAGGCTTTTTCCCATTCATGTGTCCATATCAAAGCAAAGATCTTAATTAGGAACTATTTGGTAGAGCTGTATAAAGAACCGGTTAACCTTTGTTTTAAGGAGTGTTTTTAAGGAGTGTTTTTAAGGTGTGTTCATTTAATCTTTGCTTTGCTTTTCAGAGCGAGTGCCATCCAGACACCTGCACCCAGATGACAGCCACAGAGCAGTGGATCTTTTTATGTGCTGCCCACAAGACACCCAAAGAGGTCAGTCAAGACCGTGGGTTATTCAATGTTCACTTGGGTGTCTTTTATTACAATTCTTTATTTAGTTTTATACAATGTTCATGAACTTTATACAATAACAGAAGGGATGTTTCGTAACAAAGGCTTAATTGACATTCCTGCAGGTGTAA